AAGGAACCCATGTAGAAGTTTGCAACGGTGTACTTCACGACATACTGCTCCGCCAGGATAAAGCCTTGTGGTGAACTCTCGCCCAGGCCAACATTATCCACTCCCCAAACTGCGGCTGGTTCCTCCGCTTGCAATGTGTCGTTGTACCATTCGGGCACCGGAATAGTGTAGACTCCTGCAGTCTTCCATGTTGAAGATTTTTCGTCATCGAAACCTAGAGACGGACGGCCTTCGTATGACAAGATACCACGATTCGCTGCACACTCTTCAGGAGTTGGATCAGAACACCAGTCGGTTTGTTGCGGTACGAGGGTAGCAGGCGAAGAAGTAGATATGAGTACCCTGAAGTTCTGGCCGTTGCTGTTGTTCTTGGCGTCGTCGCCGACATTGATGAAGAACGTAGACCACTTCCCGTCATTTCCTTCGTACTTCCCACTGGGACTCAGAACGTAAGGTGAAGGCAGCTGAATCGGCTCGGCACGCTTCTTGGAAAACATGGTCGTAACTTGACCACGGCGCATCGCAGCCGAAGTGAAGGGCTGTCGGTTGATAAGAGGAGGCTACAGATAAGAAGAGGCACAAGCCATCGAAAACACCAACACCTTGTCAGCTACCGCAACCACTTAGCGTAGGTCAGCTGGTGGTGCCGGACTGGCAATGAACCGCGACTTGCGTGGGCAATGCACATCAGCGCTCCGTGGACGACAGTCGCAAGGTCCTCATTGCCGTTGCTTGGATCGGTTAAACATCAATTTGTCTGGCCGCTCTAGGCGTCAAGCCCATCTGCTTGTTGTGGATGTATTGCGCCCGTGCCTCAGGCGGGGTAGAGGCACAGCATCGCCAGGGCGCCCTGAGGTTGCATATTACATGTGGATGAGCCGGCATATGACTGGACGTGGCAATACCGGTGAGAGGGCACAGGTTGTGTGGTTGCCACCGGCCTTCCCATTGGGAGAGGACTGGGCGGAGAAGGATCGCGAAGCATTCAATCGAGAGTCTGGATGGCAATCGTTGTTGACCAGGGCCGCAGATAGGCTGCATGCTGAGGTGGCTGGAAAGGCAGACCTCGAGGGAAGCCTTGACGGCCCGCGGACAGGTGGAGCTTCACTGGCTGGCGCGCTCGATCGCCTTACTCAGCGGAAGCCAACGGCCCAATCGCTCGAGCCGCCGCCCCACTTGCCCGCACAGCACGCACATCAGTTCTCACGTGCATGCACCTCTCACACGTTGCAACACACAATCACTCTTGTTGTCACCCTGCGCGACCCACCCTTAAAGAAACACCATCGTACGGATTCGGGAATTAGAGTCGTGTAGCCAGTGCGAGTATGGCGCTCGGCACCAGCGGACCTGTGCAAGGAGCGCCCTTCTGCTCCGAGCTTCGCTCCTCACTTTCGGCCCCCAGAATGCCATCCTCATCGGATCCCGTCTGGCGCCAAAACCTATCGCTAGTGATGATGGGCTGCAGGCCATTATTCTGTACAAGGTAGCGAGCTAACTTTATGCGGCCTCAGAAGTAACCATGTCAGCAACCGCCATGGATGCGATTCTCAACTTGTCTTCAGGCCTCTGGGTTGGATAATATTCCGCGTCACTTGCATCTGTCCGGCCTTTCTCATCATGCGGATTGAATGCGACACCACGTCTTGGAAGTCTACAAGGTCTCACTGCGACCCTGGCTTCTGTGGCGGCCTTTCGCCGTTGAGCTGTGCCGGTCGTATTGCTTGAAGAAGGTCTAGGCAATCTGAGTATACTTCAATGCTGCGACCAAGCCCGGGCGTTCGTCATTCGGCAGGCGGTCAGGTAGATCTATGCCTTCGGCTTGGTTGTTCTGCTTCCGGCCTGATGTTTACATACCCTGGCACACAGGATTACTGGCCAAGCTTGGCTGATGCCAGCCTCGCCAAAGGATTTGTTCCCACCGTCATATGCAGGTCGGCAGCTAGCTTCGTCATCGTCTTATAGCTATCCGTTCCTGCTTGCTTCCTTCCCTCTTTCGAGCCTCCAGCCCATCTTTCGTCGCAAGGTATGTGATGCCCCCATTGGTACACTACATAGTCGCATCTGATCCTCCCCTTACTTCAATCCGCACCTTGCCTAGTGCCGCGCTTGACACTGTATGGTACTTTCTCAGTCAAGTTAGCTTTTTGGTCATTTCAAGCATATCACATCACGTGTCTAACCTTTTCGTCCAGCTCCAAGCCGTGTGCCACTCGTTCAGCCGGCGTAGCAGTCTTTCGCTTCAAGATGCGCAATCATTGGCCCCTTCTGCTGGCTTTTACAAGCATAGCTGTCGCGCAAGGTGGTGGATATGGTGATTCCAACAGTACTTCACTGCCTGCATACGACACCCCGCCCACAGACGCCTATCCCACAGACGCCTATCCCACAGAAGCCTATCCCACAGAAGCCTATCCCACAGACGACTATCCGACAGAGACCTATCCCGCTTACCCAACAGAGGTAACCACGTCTAGTGGATACGCCGCGCCTCCTCCACCACCATCGCATCCACCACCACCTCCTCCACCTTCATCGCATCCACCACCACCTCCTGGACCACCACCTCCAAAGACCGAAACAGAGACCAAAACAGAGACCAAAACAGAGACTGAAACAGAGACTGAAATCAAAACGAAAACGGTCACTGTCACAGAGGTATAGCCATTCTTAAGTTGCCCCTGACTGTTGCTGACTATCAAAGACTGAGCACGAAACTGAGACTGAGCACGAAACTGTTACTTCGTCCGAGTACTGTTCTGTTCCGCAGCCCATTACTGTGACTCATGTCAACAACTCTACCATCACAAAGACTGATTATGATACCGTGACTGGGCCTACGACAACCGTCAACAACACAATCACAGAATATACGACGAAGACCATAATCTCAACGGTAGTGACTCTCGTACCAACTACCGATCTCATTACGACTACGGCAACGACAACCGACATCACTACCCAAACTGACGTTTCTACGACGGTCAGCATCTCAACATCGACCTACATCTCGACTACTACCTACCTTACTACAATCTATGAGACTATCACTGAAACACGTAAGTTGCTCATCCCCCGATGCGACCTGCCAATTTTAATCCTATGAACTTCTGCCTCGTTCTCATGTATCCCATCTTTATTTTTATATCTGCTTAAGCGGTGTACAAAACACATGCTGATTGTTGCATAGTGCCTGGGACTACATCTGTCAGGACCGAGACTGTGGTCTCGACAACAACAGCAACGCTCACTCTTACCGACCTCATCTCTGTGACAACAACCGTTCCTGGACCGACCGTCTCTGTTCCAGGTCCTACTCAGACCACAGTGGAAACCGTCTCGGTTCCCGGACCCATTCAGACTTCGGTTCAGACAGTGTCGGTCCCTGGTCCAATTGAGACTATCATCAGCTTCACGCCAACAACGACAACAGAAGTGATCAGCGTGACCACAACGTCTCTGACGACGAGTGTGTCTACATCCGTGTCAACTTCAACGTCAACACAATTCATTGTATCAACCCTGACCCTGTCTGGCACTACGAGTGTTACTACTGAGACCGTCTTTTCCGAGATATTCATCACGACTACGTTTACGGAAACTCTTCCACAGACTGTTGTCGTGACATCGGATCGTACGATAGAGACCACTGTTCCGGTCACCATTCCGGTCACCATTCCGGGCCCCACAGAGACAGTTGAGGAGACAGTCACAGAAGTATCTACGCAGCTTAGCACTCTGACTCTACCACCCCAGGTCACCACAACTACGACGACGTTAGAAGGCGAGACTTCAACAATCACAACTCAAATTCCGCCTAGTACTGTGGTTTCAACGATCGTATCGACTCTAACTTTCCCGCAAGCCACGGTGACTTCTGTCAGCATATCGCCACCAGAGACCGTTGTGGAGACCTTTACACAGCCAGGCCAGATTACCACTACTACTTTAACGCTTCCCGGAGTCTCCTCAACGGTCACAACGCAGCTCCCCGCAAGTACGGTACTTTCCACTATCACTCTACCTGGCGAACTTACGACTACTACTGTTCAACTCCCCGGCACTACATCCGTGATAACTTCCCAGCTGCCAGCGAGTACAATTGTATCCACACTCACTTTACCTGGTGAAGTAGTCACTTCTACGATTCAGCTTCCTGCAGAGACCTCGGTTGTTACAAGCCAGCTACCAGCCAGCACTATCCTCTCAACGATAACGCTACCTGCTGTCACTTCTACGATAGTGAGCCAATTACCAGGCAGCGTTACAACAAGTACTGTACTGTCAACTGTCACATTACCAGGATCGACAGTGTTGAGCACGATCTCTCTTCCTGGCTCCACCTCGGTAGCTACCGTGACGTTGCCTGCAACGACGTCCATTTCCACTATTCTCATCACTCAGTCCTTCGTCACCACCCAGATCCAGCCTACTACCATTGTGGAAACATTGACCCCAAGTCCATCTTCCACCACGCCTGCATCAATCTCCTGCTCCAGCGAGTGCCAGATCGACGTCACCGCGACCAGATTAGAGTACCCTGGGGAGATCGTTACCGAGATCGTTCAGGTACCAACAGCCACTCTCACGATATATACGGATGATCAAAATAGGGATGTCAGCTCATCACTCTTCATCAACGCCTTACCTTCTCAAGCGCCGCCAACATTCACATGGGATTACTCGGGCGTGCCACTGACGTATCCTACGACCTACTTAGCCTACGAGACTTTTAGCCATCTGGAGGTCGAGGCGGTGGGTACGGCTTGTGTGATTGATACAGAAACCCTTGTGTTGTCGTCTCCTACACTCTATTCGTCCCTCATTGTACCTCTCGACTCCGTCCCCAATACAGCGTTCGTGGCGCCCACGGTAGTCGACTTCCTCAACAGCCAGCCGACCGTCATTGCCCAGCTTGGCCAGTCAATTGGTCCAGACGCATGTGACCCAGCCGATGGAAGTACAGTGAGCGGCATTTCATCTTCACTTGGAACTAACACCTATGTTTCCTCGGTTGCCGGCCTGAGTACATCGACGGTTCGAAGGCCGACTGCGCAATCTGTCGTTCTGCCATCTTCGGAAGCACCCTCAACAAGTGCAGTACCAACAACCACCGCTGCTCCTCCAAGCTCGCCGCCGCCACCTCCTCCACCAACCTCAAGTAGGCCTCCCCCTCCACCTCCTTCTTCTAGTGCAATCCCAGCCCCTAGCAGCTCGCGACCTCCTCCGCCGCCACCCTCTAGCAGCGCTTCACCGCCACCACCACCGCCAAGCAGTACTCGAGTTCCACCTCCATCGTCGAGCCCGGCTCCACCTCCAAGTAGTGCGGCACCTGCACCGTCTAGCACAGTCCTTCCGTCTTCTAGCGCTGCACCACCACCGACAAGTATCGCGCCTCCATCAAGCAGTCCTGCTGACTCCGCGTCTGAAGGTCCATCGCCGTCCGCTCCTCCTCCTGAATCATCCGTGGTTCCGGAGCCCTCGACCGTTCCCGAGCCTTCTTCCTCACTGGAAGCACCCTCGTCTGCCCCTCCTCCCTCGTCGATCATCGTATCGAGCCTGACCTCGACGCGCTCTACTACTACCTCAGAAGACACGTCGTCTGCCCCAGAGCCGAGCCCAAGCTCGACTTCCGAGTTCCTTGGAGGCGCAGCACTTCCAACAGGTCACTTCGCGGGCATGTTGATTGGAGCAGCGGGCCTCGGACTGGGACTATTCTAATCGCGTAATGTGGAAGAGGAGCTAGCGTATACTTTTCAATGTCTGATGTTTAATGCACTAATGCATGATAATGGGATGATGCACATGTCTACGGGATGTGCAGGATGTAATGCTAGGTCTAATGCAAAATGCTTTGAGTCCATACCTGACACCGTATTAATTGATTTCTCGCGGGCGCTCGACGCAACACTCTGTGCAATGCAGAGTTCGTCTTCGTACCATTGTTGATCAGCCCAGCCGGTCGTGCCTGCGCAACCGTCCCATCACGGGCTCGCGGCGACTGCCCCACTTCGCTCCCGGTCCTCCACTGCCAACCAAACAACCTTATCTCAGCCTTGCTTCGATTATCATCACCACGGCACACACAATGTACAATCCAAGCCTCCTAACCTTTAGATTACTCAACCTTCTCCACCATCGCAGCAGTACGACAAAGTGCATGCACAAGCTCGACGTCCAAGCCAAGCTTTTCCTCTTCAGCTGAACTGTTGAGCGCCATGGATAACGCCACCCGATGCGGACATGGGCCGATGACCACCCATTTTCCGGATGCGTAACGGACGGTCGCCGTTGCATGCGAGGCGGGCCGCGTTGTGTCGCCGGATGGGGAAGTACCGCCGATGCGACTGCTTGCGAGTTTGGGGTGTGCCCAGCGTTAGCGGTACGCGATGGGCGGTTCGTCAAATGGAATGTGTACTGTATCGTCAAGTGCGGTAAAAGTAATCATGATGCACTTAGGCTGATGCATGGTACTATCTAGGTCTTACAAGCATGTCTTGGCGGTATGTTTGCTTACTGATATTCATCCAGTCAACAGAGATGCATCGTTTGTGTAGGTTCTGCTGTTGACGAGCAATGCGACTCTACTTCACTAAGGGAAAAATTGGACATCTCGAATACTACTTCAATGTTGGGTTGTCTACTTTGTATGTCTTCATCTTAACGTAGGCTGCAGACCTGTTCAGCGCCTTCCTTGTACAAGGTGCCCTGATCGTTGTACCCCGCCAATCATGCCGCCAAGGAACGGCCCACATGAACGTCGCTTCCACCTTGCCGTCCACTCCATTGAGCAAACATCTGACTCCACTGACATCTAATTCAATGACCGAAGCGGGACATGTTCCTACCAGATGGCACCATGATGGCCCGGAGTGAGACGCGCTTCAACAACATCGATGATCCAGAGGACAAGAGATCCTCGCAATTGAGCGCCGGCAAGACACGTCCATACGAACCGAATTGTGTTAGCGTAGTAATACAGCATAATTAAATTATCTCAACGACTTCACATTCTCTGCTCCAATCTTCTGGCCTTGACGCATAGCTCGGACTGCACTTACAAACATCCATTCAGCATGTATCCCGGGAACGGCTCGGCTGCTCGTCAGAGTATCCGCCCGCCACCCGTCCCAATCTCCCGAGAACCAATACCTACATATCAACTACAACCATTGAATGTTTGTTCCAAACCCGAAGGTTGCAATTGGCTAGTCAATTCTGACTCCAAATCACGCCCTCATTCTTCTAAACTACACCCATCCCACACTCATATCCTTGCTCCGTACCTGCATGAACATGCGCATCGCATTCCCACTACGCATTGCGGCTCTGCTCGCCCTGCCTTTTGTTTCCGCTCAAGACAGTGCCAGCGCCTCAATCATAGCCCGCAATACGAACACCAGCTGCCCCGATATATCCCCCGGGCCAGTTAGTTTCAGCGATGTAGCAGGCCTATTCCCCCTCCAAGCCCACCCAGACCCAGTCGCAACAGAATCTATCCGCCAGACGCTATCCCTCTATGCCCTCGCCATCGACGGCCGCAACTACGACATCCTCCGAAAAGTCTTCACCACCGATGCCCGCGCTAACTACTCGGATCCCATCGGCGTATTAAACGGTGTCCAAGCCATCATCGACAACCTAGCACCCGGTCTAAGCACTTTCGTATCTACCCAGCATCATCTTGGCACGCAGATGATTCATATTTGCGGTCCTAAAAGCGCTGTGTCTGTTACGTACTTTCAGGCTACGCATTGGTTTACGCCGTATACTGGCGTTCAGAACCCTGTGGATAACAGTAAGGTTCTGATTGATAAGGCTCAGTATCAGGATACGTGGGCGAAGCAGAGGGATGGTAGCTGGAAGATCATCAATCGCAATTTGGTGCGAATGGTACGTGTTGACACATGTGTGTTTGTGACGATTTCGCTTTTGCTGACGGTGTATGAAATAGGGTCCTGCTACGTTAGACGGCGGCTTTCCGACTTCGTGATCTGTAATAAAAAGATAGTCTTGTACGTTCGAAAAGTAGATTCGCCTCAGATAGCGGTAAGCGGCTTTATACTACACGTAAACATCTGAAGACTACATATCCAATCTCCTATTCATATCTCTCCAGTACTTCCGCAATCTTTTCCCGGACTCCCTGCTTGCCCTCATACTTCTCCAAAAGCTTAGCAACAACATCCTCCCTCTTGTTACCACCAGCTTCTCTCAAAATCTCTGACTCGCGGGGTAGCCCGATCCACGCGTGCGGGTACTCTCGGTAGTCCTTCTCGCTAATCAGAGGTAATGGTCCTTCGCTACTGTCTCGGAAGAAAGCATCAACGTCGCGGTTCTTGACGTCATCGAGGGTGTTGGGTTTCCAGTTTGGTCGCTCCTTCTTGCGCTCTACAAGGCGCGCGGTTACGCCCTCGACAAAATCGGGGTGGGCCATGAAGCGAGAGGCGATGTCGTATTCCTTTTGGAAGGTTTGCGCCATGGACCATTGGCGGCCGACGCGCATCTGACGGAGGGCTACGGCGACGGAGGTGGGTGACCGGCTGTGGATGGTCTGGATAGTCTTGTCGGCCCATGTCTGGATCTCTGAATCTTTGTGCCCCTTCTTGACGTCCTCAAGCGATGCCAAAATGTTCTGGATGCTAGGCATGTCCTCGTGGAAGACGGTGTCGATAACCTTGCGAAGTTCACCGGAGATGTGCGGTCGCTCGGCGGGTAGTCCAGTGCTGAACTCCTCGATTGTAGAGTTGATGATCTTGAAGCGCTCGTCGAGCTTCATGTAGTCGGGGAATTGTAGTTCGGCAAGACGCGCCTCGAGTTGCTGGAGCGTGGAGGAGTGGATGTAGTGGGTCGCGATGCCGTGGTAGAAGGCATCGACGCCCTTGAGTTGTTCGGATGTAAGGGCGAGGTAGGTGCCGAGAGCGCCTTCCATGCGAGGCAGGAAAAAGGACGCGCCAACGTCTGGGAAGAAGCCGATGGTCGTCTCGGGCATAGCGAAGAGGGTGTTCTCGGTTGCGATTCGGAAGGGAGCGTGTATCGAAAGTCCAACACCACCACCCATTGTGATACCGTCCATGAAAGCGACGTAGGGTTTCGAGTAGGTTGCGATGAGGTGATCCAGCTTGTATTCCAGCCCAAAGTAGTCTGAACTGCTTTGCTGTCCCTGGGGCCCTTCCTTATTCCACTTTGCCAGTGCTGCGACATCTCCTCCGGCGCAGAAGGCGCGACCGTTGCCCTTGATGATGACGACACCTGCCAGTTCTGACTTTGCCCATTCCTGCAACCTCGGTATGATCTTGCGGGCCATGGAGCCATTGAGCGAGTTCAGCTTCTTCGGTCGGTTGAGCTCGATGCTGCGGACGCCGTAGTTGTTGGTGAAGATGACATCGTCGGGGTCGTCGTCTTGCTGCGCTTTCAGGAGGTCTGCGGTGGGTGTGGCATACTACGCGATTGTTAGGTGTGAAGGCGTGGTGGGCTGGAGGGGTGCTGTACCTTTCTCGACCCGCTCATCCAGGCGGGATGTGTGACCTTGGCGCGCAATGGCATGGTATTTATCGTGCTTATCCGTGAGACGCTGCTCAGCGGCGTCCTTGTTAATGTGCGGAGAGACATGGTGGTGTAGGTGAAATGCGCGCCAATGATGCAACTTTCACAGTTTCCGCCGAACGAACCTCGGGTATTCGCGTAGGCGTATCGATTGGAGTAAGCGTCACCAACGTCAATTGATGGGTTTTGAGGTAATGAAAGACACGGTAGATTCTCTAAAGAAACGCTGAATAGAGAATGATACAACGTCACCGGGAAATGTTCTCCGCCCGCAGTGCTCCATCGCTCCTTCTCAAAGTTGTCGAGCTCGGATCTCCCCCTCACATGATTGGCCGATGCGCTACCATGTCGCGCTAAGAAAATGATTTGAGCCTCGCCATCTCGAGACACCACCGCCATCTCAAGCAATCGCATCCCCTCGCTTCTCTGCATCGTGTGATCGGGTCAATCATGTCGAGCTTTTCCAGAGTTTTCCTGCGCACCTCGCGCTCCGCCCTCCAATACCAGCGTAATGTGTCGCCCGTGCAAAATGCTTTGGGCGCGCAGGGCACGATGAGGTGGATGAACGGCGTACGGAACTACGCCTCTTTCACACGAGACAAGCCCCACGTCAACATCGGTATGCTTTCCCAGATACCATACCTGTGGTCATGCTAATAGACATCAGGTACCATTGGCCACGTTGACCACGGAAAGGTACAACGCCTCTCGCCCCGCCTCCCACGTTCATGACGACTGATACGCTATAGACTACCCTCACAGCCGCCATCACCAAGCGTCAAGCAGAGAAGGGCTACGCCAAGTACCTCGAATACGGTTCCATCGACAAGGCCCCCGAAGAGCGAAAGCGTGGTATTACCATCTCGACCGCCCACATCGAGTACCAGACCGACAACCGCCACTATGCCCACGTCGACTGCCCCGGTCACGCCGATTACATCAAGAACATGATTACTGGAGCTGCCAACATGGACGGTGCTATCATTGTCGTCGCCGCCTCCGACGGTCAAATGCCCCAGACCCGTGAGCACTTGCTCCTCGCCCGCCAGGTCGGTGTCCAGAAGATTGTTGTCTTCGTGAACAAGGTCGATGCTGTCGACGACAAGGAGATGTTGGAGCTCGTCGAGATGGAGATGCGTGAGCTCCTCAGCAGCTACGGCTTCGAGGGTGACGAGACGCCCATCATCATGGGTTCCGCTCTCTGCGCCATCGAGGGCCGCCAGCCTGAGATTGGTGTCACCAAGGTCGATGAGCTTTTGGAGGCTGTCGATGCATGGATCCCCACCCCCCAGCGTGAGACCGAGAAGCCCTTCCTCATGGCTGTTGAGGATGTCTTCTCCATCGCCGGTCGCGGTACCGTCGTTTCTGGCCGTGTCGAGCGCGGTATCCTGAAGCGCGATGCCGAAGTCGAGCTTGTGGGCAAGGGTACTGCTCCCATCAAGACCAAGGTTACCGACATTGAGACCTTCAAGAAGTCGTGCGAGGAGTCGCGCGCAGGTGACAACTCCGGTCTTCTCCTCCGTGGAGTCAAGCGTGATGATGTCCGCCGCGGCATGGTTGTTTCCGTACCCGGACAGGTCAAGGCTCACAAGAAGTTCCTCGTCTCCATGTACGTCCTGAGCAAGGAGGAAGGTGGTCGTCACACTGGTTTCGGCGAGAACTACAGGCCACAAATGTTCATCCGAACCGCTGACGAGTCATGCGCGCTTCACTGGCCAGAGGGCACCGAGGATGCCCACGACAAGCAGGTCATGCCTGGTGACAACGTCGAGATGGTCTGCGAACTCCACCAGCCCCACGTCCTAGAGACTGGCCAACGGTTCAACATGCGCGAGGGTGGCCGAACTGTCGCTACTGGTCTGGTAACGCGTGTTCTTGAGTAAATTAATCAAACTCAATGGGCCCGAAGAAGAGGCGAGCGTCTTCCGGGGCAGATTCCCCCGAAGTCTTCCTTGTAACATAATTGTGTTGGACATACCCCAGCTCTCCGCTTCTCGATTGACCTTCAATGTACTTTAGCAGCGCGCCAAAACGGATCTAGATGGGGGCGTTGAGTAACGATCAACATGGAACAATGTAATGACCTACCTTGACAATATCGTGCCTGCATCCCAGCTGAACAGTTACCAGGTCTTGCTTCAGAAGTTGTTGATTTGTCGTAACTCCGCTGTTGGTCCGCGATGGAAAGCTTGGCATTCAGGTTTCCCCACTTGCCGCTGCTGGTGAACGCGCTTTCTCCATCTTCAACCCCACCCTGACAACCACCAGTCGTATCGCACGCCAGTTTGGCGGCCTTGGATCCCTCGATAATACGTTCATGGCGTTCATGGAACGTGTATCAAGATGCGGAGGCTGAGCTTTACTACTACGCTACTGTACACTACAGGCGGAAGCGGCCCATTTGATATCACTGCAGGGGCCGGACCGAATCTCTTACGCCCCTGATGCTGCGTCCTTCAGATCAGTCTATCTCATCGGCTCTACTATTCGGGGAAGGCTGCTCGTAGCCGCCAACGTCGGATGCGCTGTTATGTGCTTCCAAGGATAACCCAGAATCATCGTCGATAACGCCCCTGCATGTATACGCTGCATACGAGCAACACCGTCTTCTCAATCAGTCATGCGCCACGAACCGCTCGTATGGTTTGAGCACTGTATAAATCGCGCAACTCACGATGGGACTAGGCTTGCTTCCCGGCACAACGTCGCGTGTTCAGTGTCTGTCTTGGCTGATTGAACAGCTCGCGGCTGTCGAGACAAATCAACGTTCAGGAGCTGACAAAAGTCACGATCCATCTGACTTGCCTATATAATCCAGACTATGAGCTATTTGGCCAATCTGCCAAGAGAGCAATCCCAAGACGCTGTAAGGAATGAAGAATTTCGCAACGGGAACATCGCAACAATTGGCTTTCCGAAGACCAGGTCGGGATCAAGTCTTCCTGATGATGACCGTACTACGATGAATCACGTGTGTTTCCATGGGACTAACGTCCTGACGTTGTTCGCAAGTGTTCCCGCTCACATCAGGTTGAGCTTTGCTCTCAGCGATTGCGCCTCTGCACCAGCACGTTCAAGAGTGTTAGCACCCATTGGTCAAGCTATACAAGATGGACGCGGCGACCCCGATGTATCTACCATGACTGGTGCGTTGAGCTGACCGGTAGCCTATCGAAATGGGAGACCTCTTGTCTTCCACATCTCTAGGTCGAGTTATAAACAATGGCTTACTTTAGGGACACTCCTATTTGTCGTCATTGATTGGACTAAATGACGGATGCTCAACTCGGCCGAGCATCACAGTAGCTTCCGATACCAACCCCATGGAGCAATCCGGCACAGTCTGATCCACGTCAGGAATCTGCATCTAAGAGGATGGATCTGGCACCAGAAAAGACGCAAGGCTACTATTAACGACGATCAAGGTGTTCGAGCACTAAGTCCCGGGTCTGGATGGAAAGCTGAGGCCAGCCGTCCGACCAGCAGTTAGTCGGGCCTCTTCTAGATCCGCAATACGCGACGGCTCTCCCCCATGAACTGCTCGGCATGATCGGCTTTGTCAACATCCCCTGTGCCGACGAATCATTCATCCTATCATTCAGCCGCGGCACTCCCAGACTCCAGAGTAGATCGGGGCTGGCTTCGTGGACCGCCGGGTTATTACAACACGGCGTCTGCAGTAATGTCATTCAGAGACAAGGGCGGTTCATACTCGGTCTTGCTGGTGTAGTATGCAGCTTTGCTGTTAAGGTCGACTTCCAGTGTTCAGTAAACCCATCTACACACAGCACCCATATGCTTGCAGCTGTCGCTACTCAGTTGTATACACATTTGAAAGCGCGACCTACAAGCGGAGTCGCCTCTAGACAAGGAGCGCCAGCATGTGTGGCCACGCAGTTATTCATCTCGACTGCAGCGCCTGATGCTGCGGTGCTGGGGTTGCTGCATCGTATCTACGGGAAGGCCCGAACCCAGGTCGCGTCTCCGGGAGGGCCGAGTCTGTGTGCACATGTCGCAGCGACATGTTCTCAGCTACATGATCTTAGCCATCAAGTGCGAAAGCCAGTGTCTCACTACATTTGGACCTGCTTATCGTGAGAAGAGGGCCAAGGACGGATTTCGGGGACCAGATCGAGCTGCTAACACACCTTATGGCTCATCATTGCTCGTGTATACGATCATGTTGCAGCTGGCCAAGTTATCTGACTTCAGAGGGTCGTACAGGAAAGAGAAACGATGCAACATTACTTGGGCACAGTCCAATGCGCGGCGTAAGTAGTGCTTACAGGTACCAGGCGTTGGACTCATTCTTGCGACAACCGGCCAAGTAACGAGAGTAGAAGACGCTCAAAAAGGATCTTGTTGCTGCCTGTGCGCCTACTAAATTCCAGCTTCGTCAGTGTCTCACGAATATTGCCACGCCTCGTGCAGGGTCAGCCCAGCTTACATAAAGTAGGTCCCTTTTGGCAAGTGCTTAGCTTTGCGGCTCCACCACGCGGCCTCGTGGGAATGGCGTTTGCTATGCTTGACTGGCCCACAACAGCGAGCAGCGGTGCGGTGAGGCTGGAAAGTCAATTCGGCATCGTCTTGCGAGGCGAGACTGGCGTAGGTTTACAGCCCCCAAACCCTTGCCCCACTTGGCTCTTATCGCCTGAACCTGGCAGTAGCGGCCTAACCCGCCGCAACAAACATGCATAGCCTTGAGCCTGCGAAGAGGAGCATGCGTCCTCAAATTGGACTGATGCGTCCTGTCGTTTCGCGCTAGCCATCAAAGTTGTCCCTCGGGATAATTTTGGCGACTTTGAAGTGTGTCGCTGAAGATCTTCACGCGTCACCGCACTCCAGGGCTGTCTTCGAGCTCAGCTGCATCCTGTCATCAAGTGCCAAGGAGGGGTATATATGGGTACCGTCTCGTATGAGCTTAGCTTGGGGAACGCACATATACCCGCTTACATCCCGTACATAGTACCTGAGTACGCCTCCAACATACCTCGTAATCATCGGTACATCGACTAGACCTCCCAATCACATCACACTTTCAATGAGTCACCCCGGCCTGATTGCCTGCACCAGATGTGCCATCTCTAAGGCACGGTGCGACAGGAAGGTGAGTACCTAGCCAGAGTGCACTTACTGAGCCATCAGTGCAATATCTAATAGAAACACAGGTACCATGCTCACAATGCGTTGCAAGAGGCTATGTTTGTCAGCCTAGAACTACCTCGCGTAAGCCGCGAGCGCCTCGAAAATCGACGGCACGGAGTCAAGCGTCAACAAGCCCGACAAACACCAACTATTCTAACGGCAACCATGTGCCGAACATGGATCAATTTACTGGCTATATGGTGCCAGAGAATCAACCACCACAGAATAGCGACATGCTTGCATTCGCCAATTCGGCTTTACCCACACCATCTCTGGATCTTGGTGGTTACGACGACTTTATGAGCTTCCCATATCCCGGTGTTCCAGCTAACAGCGAAGCTATGGACACCTCAAACAATCTCTTCGCTTCCATATCATCGATGGATGTTCACCCTAGCGATCCCTTGTATCCGCCAGGCTGTGTAGGCGGCGGTCAAGGGCTTCAACAACAACACCATAACCTGTCACATGGGCCAAACCAGCCGTTAACACCACCTGATACGATACATCGAGGGAGCACAAGCATACCAGCGAGTTCGCCAGGCTTACGAAACGCTTTTACACCAAAGCAGTATCCACAGAAAGCTGTGCACCAATTTGCGACATCGGATGATGTACTCGCGCAGATGGTGGATGTACTCGCACAGCCTACCGCATGGCAAGGGCTTGCGGAGAACGACAGCGAACCCAGCCAGTCTCTCACACACGATGCGAGAGACCGGATTGTCGCAACTGTACAGATACTCTTGCAACGGGCACTCTGGAGCCGACAATCTCCTTCAACATCAAGTCAAGGCCTCTTTGGACGCATCGTAGTCCTCCCACCCTCCAACGTTCTTATGCACTTTATCGAAACGTACGCAAACCGCATCGACTCCATTCAGCCCTATCTGGGTCTCGCTGGCTCCTCAAGCATCAACATCACAGACATTCTACAAGTCGACAAGGCCGATGTCGGGATTCTACTCATCATACTTCTCATCTCCCAAGGTGCTATGCTTACAGATCATTTCGAATCCCACGTACTCGCCAACGGCTTAATAGAAATATGCAGGATTGCATTGGACGACGTTCTCGAGAGCCGCAGCATATCGCAACCAATGATCGGAGGGATTGCACTGCAGTTGCTTACACTCTGCGCACGGAGTGGTAAAGACTCTTTTGCTGCGTATGCCATGTCGAAAAGAGGGCAATATCTTAGTGTAAGTCATCAACCTTATGCGTGCGCTGGGAACCTGGACTAACTTCGACAGATGCTGAAATGCACTGGCGTATTACAGCCTGAACAGACGGTGCACAATCCAAGAGCGGAAGGAGCAGAGATGTGGGAAAGATGGAAAGAGCAAGAGCAGCGCAATCGGTAAGCTACATCTCACACTACCCCCCGACGTTCGACTAACATTTCTAGTCACGCATATGCCTGGGTCTACGTAGACCTTGAGATCAGCTTGTTGCACGACCTACCACCAATTCTCTCGATCAACGACCTACAAGTGCCCCTGCCGCAAGACAACGAGATGTGGCATGCCAACTCATACAATGAGTGGCTCGAGCATTCTGGCGCCAACGGCAACAAACCAGGACCCTGCAATGCCGCAAAGTTTGGTGCCTGGCTTGAGAAACAGGGTTCTGTTGGACCCCGCTCTGGGCACTCAACTCCATCCCTCAACGGCCTCTTTCGAAGTTTCCTCCAGGGTCGGCTGGCAGTCGGTGATGACGTACCCTTACACCACCTTCGTCTGCTTCTGCACCCCATTCTGGCCATGGTGCTCGAGCAACAGCAACTTCTGCGCATTTTCGACGCCGACGAACCTTCGAATCGATACCGGGTGCTTTCTAAGATCAAGATCTTAGGCCGCCTGCAGGAGACGCAAGACTTGCTCCAAGATCTGGCAACGCTTCTCTCACGGTCAAAAGCTTCTTCCAGCAAGGAAGACGAGGGTGAAGTAACCCCCACCGACTGTGTCAGCATGATAATGCTCCATCTGGTTAGCCTGAACGTTTTCACCAGCATCCCCGAGATTGAGAAATGCGCCAAGGAAGAGCCGCCCATGTCAGCCACGGCCCGTGCGGACATGTGGCGGTGGGCACGTCATCCCGAAGGAGAGAGATACGTGCTGTTCCATGCCGGCCAAATCTTCAGATTGATCGACAGATCGTCCATGGACGCACGGCCAACCTGGTGGCCGGTAGCTTTGTATCGTGCGGCCATGTCTTGCTGGTCGCTCCGATCTTGGGACCGAACCTCCTCATCGGCGGCGGTGGAGTGTGGTATTGATGCCCTATTACCCTCGGAGGAAGAGTGCTTTCTCAACACTACTACTGGTACACCCGTTGTCACGCTTGACGACAAGCGACGGTTACCCATCCTTGAGGGGAACAACAGCTTGCAATACTGCATCAGCAAGCTTGAGAGTCATCCTACACATTGTTCACGTAACGTCATTGAGAAGGCTCGCTACTTCTTGACTAGATGGAGTTGAGGGTGTTAATGATCATGAAAATATGGGGCAGGCGTCTAAAAGCAGGTATGGATATCGATAGAACAGGAATCTCAGGAAGGCTACTTGGCCGCCGTTGACGAAGAAGCTTGTCTCGTCTTGGCTGTGTCGTTGCAACAATAGAATACCCCGATCAGTTCCACCGCAATCACGTCCACGCTTCAACAAGGTCCATGTCAATGTGTACTTCAACGTCCCTCTCATGTACGATACGGTGCGTTGAATATCCAGATTCATTTTGTTGACTCATGGAAAGCTTACACATTATCTAAGTCCCACGACTCTAACTACCAGTGCATCAAGCGAGGAAGAGCCACAACCTCAAACTAGGCTTCACAAATTCTGAGTAATACCAGGACTGGCCTTCTCCAATATCCCAGCCAACTCATCCCAAACCCTCTTCCCCAGCTCCGCACCTTCCTGACTCCTCGCAAGCGGCGACGGCTCCTCCACATGATCATCCAAAATATACTCGCCCTGGCTCTCCGGCAGCGCTGTCGCATTCACCAGCAATCGACTGCCCACCTCGACCTGGCGTCCCAAAACCTTCTTGAACACCACAGGCGCCATACCCATATCCTTGACCAAATCCGACTTGCAAAGACCAGGTGTAACGCAGTTGATGACAACGGGTTCCTTCTTCTTGTCCTTGATGATGACTTGGGTCAAGTGCCGAACGAGGAGGATCTGCATGAGCTTGGAGACGTTGTAGCGATCTGCCATGTCGGCTTTCTTCTCGTCGTCCAGCTCGGCGAAGATGCTGTCTGCCTTCTTCTGCGGGAACTGCGTCCAGTGGTGTACCTCGGATGTGACGATGGTGAGATACGGCTTTGTCTTGTGTATTTCCGCTGTTCTTCGCAGAACAGGGAGCAGCAGCAACGCAAGCATGAAGGTGGAGATGACATTGACGGTAATGTGCGCTTCATGCCTTTCAATTCTCTCGAACTTGCCCTGAGCGATACCCGCATTCTCCAACACGATATCAATGCAAGGTAGTGTCTCGCATTTCTTCGCAAACGCATTGACGCTAGCGTACGAAGAGAGATCCAGTTCCCACACTTGGAGTACGCCGGTGCGCTTCGTCGTGGCCTCGATATCGCGTTGAGCGGCTTCACCCTTGGATCGCGTGCGGCATGCGATGATGACTGTAGTCGCGCCGCAGCGGACAAAGTGTCGTGTTGCTTCCAGGCCGAGTCCGCTGTTAGCGCCTGTTACGATGACGGTCTTGCCGGTGAAGGTCTCCGGCTGAGGTACCTTGGGTGTGTAGAGGAGCTGCGACTTGAGGAAGGCAGGGAATGAAGACATGATTGGTGGATGTCGCGCTGGAGCAGCTATACCGCGAAGGGGAAATGCTTAGTGGAGAGTAGAGTGGGGTCGTGGGAGGTGATGTGAGATGGTAGTCTTTCGTCTTTCGCGCGCGTATTTCAAGTCAGGCCGGCAATCTCGACGCTCTGACAGTTGATATGAAGAGGAAATACGAAGGCAGAAGTAAGCACTTCACGATCCAACAAAAATAACTGACGTCAAGGAACGCACAAGAACGGCGCACGCACAATGGGAATTAGTCATCTCGGTGTCCGGTATTGCGCGCGAACAGCGCACTCCTGCCTTCTCGCTGGCGACATTCTCCTGGAAGGATGCGGCGTGGTGAACGTTTGTTTGTAAACTTTGTACGGAACTCCGGACTAGCGTGTTATGTCGGGTCGAAGCGACCTTGGACGCATCGGATCAGGCGTCCCATCATCTTGGAATTTAGGTTTTTGCTCGCGAGTTACTCAGCTGAGAACGGCCCGAATTCAGTTTCAGCCTTAGCGCGGTTCTTGTCCGTGTTCGTGTGAAGAAGCAGCCTTGTGGTGGTTGGGCTTGGTAACGCGGTTCACCGGTTTAGCAGGAACTCGGACGTGCGGTCGTAGGATTCTTGCTTACCTGATTCGAAAATCTACGAGCTGGAAATCCGAGGGTTACAGGTGCCGATAGTTGGAGAGCCGGCGTAGGAGGTGCGATGAGGAGGTGATGAGGTGCGTGGATGGAGTTCGGTGATGTTTGCGGAGGAAGAGCGATGGGCGTTGGTAGAGAGATGCATAGAGAAGGTGCGATGAAGATATAAGCATATACTGCATCTCGCTCACATCAACGCCAGCATCTTCAAGAGCTAACTTTCGTCTCTCATCGTCTTGCCATAACCCATTTTTTGCTATTCGCATCCCCAAGTCTTGTAATCCTCATTCGAGATGTTGTCGTTTGCCCACCTCCAATTCAGCACCCTCCTCCAAGCCACCTTCCTCCTCGGCATGAACACAGCCCTGTCCACTATCTCCATTCCCTCCATCCTCGAGTCTCCGTCTCCAATCCTCGCGATCCGGCAATGGCACTACCAGTTCCGCGCCGCGCAAGTCCCCGCTACTTCGCTCTCGGCTTCCAACCTCATCCTCTCTGCCATCATGACATACAACTCCTCCACCAAGCAAGGACTTACGGGGAAGACCACCATTATCTACGGCGTTAGCAGCGTATTGGCGTTCCTGATCTTCCCATTCACACTTCACTACATGAACCCGGTGAATGATGTGTTAATTGAGAAGTTCAGGGCGCAGAAAGATCTGCACTATGCGGATCTACCAGAGAAGGGCAGGGGAATGCAGACTGCGAGGGTGAGTTTCATATATCTTCCGTGTTGCTTATCTACTCGAGATGCAAGAGATGCTAACGCCGTATCGTAGGATCACGACAAGATCGCCTACTGGGGCTACTTGAACCGTGTGAGAATTGTGCTTTATGCTGGTTTCGTGGCTTGCAATGCTGCTGCTATTCTGGTCTAGAGACAAGCACACGGAGGAAGATGATTGGGGGCGGGTAATGCCGAGTGAGCTGGTATTGATTTGGCGGGTATGTTTCGGCAGCCAGATGCAGGCGTGTTGAGGTGGCGATACGAAGGCGAGAGCACATCAACGAGCTCTGCGTTGAAGATGCGGAATATTCTAAAGACATCAAAGGTAGTGGGATGATTGGCGTGGCTATTAGCTGGCAACGTATCGAGTTTGCGCAGATGAAATGTCCGATTCCTTTCCCGAGCATCGAGTATTGTAGTGAGCATGGTATACATTCATGTCAATGTCAATGGACCGCGTAGGACGTGTCGCCTCCAGAGACATTCATGCCGCTTTTCTCTACATTCTCATCACGAATTGTCTCTTTCTTCTCGTCTACAGCCGTAACAAAAGTGACTAGTGCTTGATCTGAACTTTCGGTCGTTGATACATCTTCTCGGGCTTCGATATACGTTGTTTTGCCTTCCGCCTTCAGTTCTCACCAAGAGAACTACTGTAGGCTTCGGATGTTCGGCGGGTTTGTTTGATAGGAGGCAGCGGTTGTTCATGCTGTTCAAATAAAGTGGCCTCCCATAAATCGGCGGCTGTCAGTTCGACTCACGTGCCGAACCTTTTCATCGCATCACGGAGCTTCGATATTCAGTCGTTGCAAGACACGTGCTGATGATTAAGAAACGATGGATACGAGTTTTGATAGAACCATAGATTATATACAACTCGATGGGACTGAGAAAACTGACGAGGCCGAGAACCAAGCTGAGAATGACAATAGCACCTAGCCCTAACTGTGGCGCAATAGAAGGTCATGCAAAAGAGTTGAAGTGGTTAAACAAACCCTTCGGGTCATATCTCTTCTTCAGCAGCCTCAGCCTTGGAAGTTTCGTCGCACCATAGACTTGCTCCGGCTTCTCGTCGCCACGTGCGTAGTTGGGAAACACATTGCCATCGGGGTTTCCGCATGCTGACATCAACTCGGTGCGAATCTTCGCGGTGAACGTGTCAACGGCGCTGGTTTGCTCCGCAGTGACGTTGCCAGGTAGGTAAAACGCAAAGAAGCCGTAGGCCACAGTTTTGCGCCAAGCGTAGGCTGTAGAATCATCGTCGATACTCGCCGTTACGCCCAGGCCAAATTTCTCTATAATCCAGTTGGTATTTTCTATTGCCGGGTTGGCACGGAGGAAGTTCATGTACTTCGTGAATGTGTCGACCAGCGCAGGTACAGTGAGGTTGTTGAGCTGAAACCCCCACATGTCCGCCCCAACACCCTTTCGCTGAGCGAATATATCGCCGCAAAAGTTGGCCACGCTTACTAGTCGGTTGTAGGGAACGACTGAAATGTTGCTGTAATATGGCTTTTGGTTGATGAACGACTTGATCGCGGCGTCGCCCTGCTGCTTGTTGCCGTAGTAAATGGCGGAAACATCGATTGTTGGCTTGACAATGTGTTAATGGAGGTCAAGCATCCGACCAGACGTGGCTAGCACTTACGACATTGTTCTTGATGGAGGATCCAATCGTCAATGCCAGCTTATCATCTTGCTTGCCCTGGTAAGTCTGGAAGATTTCAAATATCGTGGCGTTCTTCTCGGCTTCAAACGACATGTCTGCATTGTAAACCATGCCATCATTGATTGTATCGTAGATGCGATAGGTCGCTGATGTGACCACACCGAAGTTGAAGCCCGCGCCACGCATGCCCCAGAAGAGGTCAGAGTTCTCAGTAGCCGACGCCGTTAGAATCTCGCCCGATCCGGTGACCATTTCCACGGAGAGTAGAGAGTCGATCAGGAGTCCGTGTTCACCAGTCAAAGGTCCTACACCCCCACCCAACGTGAGGCCAATGATGCTTGGCGGAGAAGTCCCACCAGAAGCTGAGGGCTTTGTCAGTAATCTAGGATGCCGACTATGTCGGAGACTTACGCATCATCTTGCCGGCCGCATACAGCGGATCGAACATATCATGAAACGTAGAACCGGCTCCAACGACCATGGTGTTGGTGGATGCGTCGACTTTAATCTTCTTGAAGTTGCGCAGGTCAACGTCGAGCGCATTGTGTAGGCCAGAAAGCGTCGTCGAGTACCCGTGGCCACCTCCAGTTGCTAAAAGAGGGACCTTGTTCTTGGTTGCATACCGCAAGATCGTCTGTACATCTC